GAACCATACATTGTCAAATGGTATAAGTGAGTTACATAATTTTTAACCATAAAATAATTATAAAATGATACTGAGAAATGTTTATAGTCCATGTAAACATTTTAACAGCCATAGTAAAGAAACACACTATGATTAAAATGATGTGGAACTCCTGACATAAAAGGTAAATATTAGGCATGTTAAGTTTTCATTGTGTTGTTATAGGTCACTTGGAGATATAATGAGACATCATTCAAGAATTGTTATTGTATTTTTTTATCAAGTTTAATATACACCAAAAAATACAGAATTTCAAAAATGCAAACATGGTATCTGCCTTCAAACTAAACTGAAATATTATAAGAAACATTTTTATAAAAAGAACTTTACTTACAAAATCCAGTTTGAGATGCATTAATCACTTCTTTTCATCTGACACTTTCAATCTACCTCTAATTTGTAGTAAGAAAACACGTTTTGCTTTATTTGTATCAAGATAATTAAAATGTTTAGCTGATAATAATTATTAACATGGATAATATTATTAATAAATTTAACATTTAACTGTTTGACATACCCAAGAATTTGTATTGCAAAACCTAGCTTTGTCTTCTCCTGAAGCAGGGCATGAAGTATCTTAATGCATGTATAATACAAGACAAAATAGACTACATTTATTTTGATAGACTAATTTGAATACCTGAATAGAAATTAATAACAGTATTCCTGTGATATTGTTATTTTATTTGTCATGATGGAAATAGGTATATTTCAATATATAAAGATTTTTTAAAGGTAGTTTTACTTCTATAATTAGTTGTTCTCTTTTTGATATTTAGAATATGCTCTTTAATGTTACTTATTATTATTCAATAAAAACAAAGTTTTTCAATCAACTGGGCATGAAAGATGAATTAAAGTGTTACTAATAAAACTGAAATAAATTAAATATATAATTTAAAAAATTCTCTACACAATTTAGCTAAAATTAATTTTTGTGAATACTTGATGCCAGACTATTAAGTAAACCTCATTAAAAAGGCAAGTAAGTTTAATCTGGTTGATTCATTTGGCCATTTGACATAACCTTTAGTACTATATTTGACAGTAGTAAAAGTTCTTGAGTTAGCTTTCATAGGATGAACCAATCATTACCAAAAGTTTAAGCAAAAGTAGTAATGGTAGAGATTCATGTTTTAAAGGGTGAGGGTATGGTTCCTTTCCTCTTACTTAACTATAATAATTTGAAACTCCACATGGGATAACATAATGCTTTGTATTAGAAAAATTCATATGTCTGTGACTTCAATATAATATAAACTTCTGATAGTTAGGAACTAAATCCAAGTAATCTTTGTACCTTCCCCATAATGCTTAGCACAGATACACGTGGAAATCTCACTTGGTAAATGTTACTGAATTAGAAAACTATTAGAATGTTTTCATTGAATTACAAATACACACACATTTTTAATATATATTTAATATGTATATGATGTATATATATTTGTATATATATTTTCTTTTATTATAAAGTGTCATATAACGCAAAAATAAATGCAATATCACAGCAGAATAAACCATCATGTTTATCTACCCTCAAGTTGATTCTTTTTTTCTGTGAAGTTTTTAAGACTGGATATTCTAACAATAAAGTAAAATACCTAGCACTGTTTTGCATATCGTCTTGCAGAAAAATATTAACTACCTCCTAATATCAAAGAAAAATTTCTGAAGTGTGTTTTCCTTCTGATTACATATTTTCTTAAAGCAAAGGGCCTCAAATTAACTATATTTGACTTTGTGGATTTTTTTTTTTAATTTTAGTGGCCCACATAGTAAAATATAAAATTTAAGTTTTTAATGAATTTATACTTTAAAGTTGATGACATGACAGCAATAATAGTTTGCAGCATGTCTCTAAATTTTATACTAAGAAAAAAGACATATCTATTCAAAGTACTAAATTAATATTTTAAGACCTGATATTTTGACATATCTGAGAATCAACACTTTTTATTTATGTTGCTTCTACCTTGACCTTAGAAAATGCAAATTACAGATATAAATGAATTAATTTACTCTTCTACCAGAATAAAATACCTAAGACTTTCTCAAGCCTTGAAACATGCTGAGTATTAAACATTATAATCCTTCTTTTTTTCCTCAAAGGGATTAATCGCAGGTTGAGTCTTTTCTTTCATCATTTTAAAAAGCAAATAGTATTTATGAATACTATTATTTCTACTATAAATGAAAGCTTAGACTAGTTTTAGCATTATATATATATTTTTAATTGAACTCTGGTTGATATACATTAAGTGTACAACAGCGTGAGTCAACATTTTATATACATTATGAAATGCTCACCACGATGAGTGTAGTTACCATCCATCATCATACAGAGTTATTACAATACTATTGACTATATTCCCTATGCTGTAATTTTCATTCCTGTGATTTATTTATTTTATAACTGGAAGTTTGTACCTCTTAATCCCCTTTACCTCATATAATCTTTATTTAATGAAAATTTAATCATTCTTACCTGAATCCAGACCAGGTATATATACCATATATCATGAAGAACAGCACCCTGAGAGAATACAAAAGAATTCTGAATATATAGTACTGAAAAATGAGACATGAATGCTTTTCTGAATATGGGTATGATTCAAACAGACAAGTGCAGATAAATCTACATGAATATTGCATCTGGTTCACTGAGTGGCTTATAATTTTGAAACTGTCACATTTCAGCAAATATATCAACACTGCTAGAAAATCAAAAAGGAAGTACATTTCTGTTAAGTGAAATTGCTTCTACCTCACATAGGATAACCACAAATATATTTTAAATAAAAACTTAGCTTTTAAAAAATTATTTTTACTTATATTATCAACTCTTCTCTAAGTGAGGAGAACTGAGTACATAAAAGAGCTCAACAAATATTTGAGAATGAATATCCATATACACATTGTGTGTGTATATATGTACATATAAATATGTATATTTATATGTACATATAATGAATAACACAATGGTCAAATAGTTACGGTTATTCTTCTGAAATTTCAATATAGTCAAAGGTCATGATAATTACATTTTCATTCATGTCCTTTGAGATGAGTTTTTACTTAATGATCTTCTAGACATGCAATTGACAATATCTAAATATATAAACATATTTTTATTTGAATATTGATAAAAGTCTTGTAATTTTTTTCTTAAAAACCAAAACCAGAATATGACTGTTAATTACCTGACCAGGTAAGTAATATATTATGTCATGCTTCACTATGACTTATTTAAACAAACAAAAGTTGTGAATTGTAGATGAATTGTAGGTAGGGGTAAAGAGAAATCCAGTTTAAAAATTGGGATCTAACTTTAAAAAGGTCATGGGAATATATTCTTTGACAGTAAATAAAAGATTGTTCGCACAAAATATCAGTATAATGAATCAACACTTTTAAGAACATTTATTTAGACATAACAACTTATATTATAATGCAGCCTTTTAATTTTACAGTTTGCAAATTATAAACTGAGTCTGCAAATACCCATGTGGTCAGTCAATATCAGTAAGAGTGGTAAAATCAGTAGTAAAATCAAATTTTACTCCAAGTACCAATATATAAACTCCATACTTGGTTATCTTTTCAGAAGTGATTTGCATACATTTAAATTGGCGTGGACACCTTTAAAGAGAAACAGTGTTTGGGGCGCCTGGGTGGCTCAGTCGTTAAGCGATCCCAGGGTCCTGAGATCGAGCCCCACATCGAGGTCCCTGTCCTGCGGGAGGCCTGCTTCTCCCTCTCCCACTCCCCCTGCTTGGTTTCCCTCTCTCGCTGTGTCTCTCTCTGTCAATAAATAAATAAAAATCTTAAAAAAAAAAAAGAGAGAGCAGCAGTGCTTGAATTCCTAAGGAGAGTGAAAGTACAGTCACCAATCGGAAACCTTCCTTACATTCTCAAAATCACTTGCATTTCACGTTTTTCTCCACGCAGCCGAATTACGCGTGGGGCCTCTTTTCGCTGTCCTTCTCTCTCCGCTTCCAGTTGATTTTAAGCCAATAACTGAACTTCAACCACCATATATGACACAAACATCGCAGCGTGGAAACACATCGACTGGGAGGATCCTTTCTCTTGCAGAATTCTGTAAGCATCGAACGCTGTCCCTTTGCTCCTTGATCTACTATTTCCCCAGCACTTGCCACTGTGCCATTTCCCTCCCATTGCCCTCCGCCCACTTAGAAAATATCGTTCTACCCTTTATAATACCGCCCCTTTCTCTTCTCGGTTCAGCTTTCTCCATTGCCATAAATATTTCTTCAAAATATTCTGAGTTTTGAGGTGGGCTTTTCAACCTCACTCGACTGTGACAGAAAGAAAATGATGCTGCTGCTAATAATAATAACAGCGAATAAACTATTACAGAACCCCAACACTAGAGATATGGGTTGCTTGGCGCCGCCCTAAAAAAAACCGCATTAAGTTTAGTCTGAGAGCATTCCTCCTTCCTTTTTCCTTCCTTGTGTGAGGAGTCGCCTCCACCTGCAAGCCGTGGAGGCATTTTTGTTGTCGACTAACCCCCTCTAGCGCCGAACTGGCAGCATCCGAGTCGCCGCTGCCAGGCGGGCCGAGCGCAAGGCTTGGCGGAGCTCAGGAGAGCTGGCGGTCCCGGCCCTGCCCTCTGCGCCCGCCTCGGCCGCGGGGCGAGGGCGTGAGGGCCACGGACGCGAGACCGCTCTCTGTTAGCACTGCGTGTTGCCCCCGCCCTGCTCGGAGAGCCGCGTGATCCCACCAAGCAGTCACTGAGTCTGCGGTTTCCCACCGACCCGAGCGCTGGGCGGGAGTAGGTGCCGCGAGGGGGCGGCTTGCGTGGGGAGAGCAGTCCGTTCGCCGCGCGCTCGGCGCAGCCGTGGATGTTGCCGCGCGCCGCTCAGCCTTTGGGCTGCTCGGAGCGCACGGTCCGACGCCGCCACGCCGGGGGCACGCCAGGGGCGCTCCGGGCCCCCGGAATCCCAGCGCCCACGACTGCGACAATGCTCGTGACCTCCACCGCGAAGTCACCGCCGCGCGGCGACGCGAAGACCTCAGTGAGCCCCAGCGCCGGGCACCCGCCCGTCTCCAGCCTGGTGTGACTCTCCTCAGCTGCTTGCTCTTTCTTTTTGGCTTACTAGGACTCGAAGCAGCGGAGGCAGCCACAAAGTTGAGGCGCTCGCCCGAGTGGGCAAGTTTGGGCGTTCCGAACTGGGGAGTGGTTAGGTTGGCAGCCGCCGCCAGGCTCGCCCCAGACCGGGAGCGCTTGCCCACAGCACTCACCCCCTCCAGCGGCGGAAATATGAAGTCAGGGGGAAGCGGTGTCAGGAGCTGACTCGCCCTAAAGCGCTCGGCGCTGCTGCCGGGAAATGGGAAGCAAAGTGTTTGGGGGACTAAGTCCGGCCTCGGAGATGCTCAGAAAGCGGCTGCCAAGGCCCAGGCGCATCGCCCACGCGGCGGAGTTGGAAGTGTCCGCTGTGCAAACCGCTGCGTCGCCACCTAGGCGAGGGGCTGGGGGCGCAGCCTGTATGTAGCTCGTTCGGGCCACTCACGGCCCCGCCGAGCCTTCACAGCTGCTGTGCCTCTCCTTTTGGCTCTGCAAGTGCCCCCTTCAGTCCGGAGAGGCGCTCGGGCCGCCTGAACTGCCCGCCGCACCTGGTCGTCCCTCCTCCTATTCCCCCCGTGAGGCGCCCTCCCCCGCCCCCTCGCTCCCCTCCCCCAAACCACAGCCCGAGCTCGCTCCTGCGCGCGCGCTCTCCCGGGCCCAAGTGAATAGTCCTCGCGCGAGCGGGACACGGTGGTGGATGCAATTCCGCTCGCTTACAGCCGCCAGGAGCTCCCTGGCGCCGCAGGCAGCGTCCTCCTCCGAAGCAGCTGCGCCTGCACCTGGGCAGCCTGGACCTTCGTGCCCTGCCCCCGGGGCCTCACGCGGGGGGCGCCCCGGGACACCTCCTGCGGGCCGGGTGGAGGAGGAAGAGGAGGAGGAAGAAGACGTGGACCGGGACCCCTACCCCACGCAGAACACTTGGCCCCGCTGCTGTCAGTTCTCTTTAAGTGGGAGAAGAAGAGAGCCGGGGAGAGTCATGGGGGGCTGCGAAGTCCGGGAATTTCTTTTGCAATTTGGTTTCTTCTTGCCTTTGCTGACAGCTTGGCCAGGCGACTGCAGTCACGTCTCCAACAACCAAGGTAAGGGACAGGGCGGAGAAGGGGGAGGGGGCGGGAGGAGGCGGGTGCTCTGAGGACCGGTGCGTGGGTCGCCTCCTGCAGGTAACTTCGTCCCGGGGTAGGCTTCTCTGGGCTCACCACACGAGAGGTCGAGGATGTCCCCTTACCAGAGCGCCTGGACTGGCGACCTCAGGAGTTGCGGTCCTTTTTGCTCCCGAATGTCTTTAAACGGATGCGTGGGCATCGGCAGCAGTTGGGTCCCACCGCTGGCGGCCGCGGGACCGCTCCCCGCAGCGCTGTCTCCACAGGAGGTCAGGCTCCGTGGCACAGGTTTAGTGGACTTCGGGCTCTTGGCGGTTGCTCACAGCACGGGAACATGCAGGTTCTCACTTGCCTTCGTGAAAGCAGATAGCTCCCGCTGTACTCTTGGACCAGGTACCAGGCTTTTGCGTGTGGTAGCTAAGCTGCCCTCGCCCAGCCTCAGCCCCCTTACCCCAAACCAGACGGAATGTAGACTTGTTCGAAGTTATTCCTGGACCAGATGCCCAGATTTTTGTGGTTTCTTTCTTGAGAGGCAGAGGTGGGGGTGGGGCGCGGGGAGACAAACGTTAAGTGTGAATTTCCAAGTTGTGAATATCCTATTCATAAAGTCGAGTCACTGACAGATATTTTAGCAAGACTTTCAGTAGGTAAAGTGGTAAAGTGAAACTGAATAGTATGTGAAAAGTGAAAGGTTTACCGAATGGAAAGCGCTGGAATTCTTGAACATTTTCTTTCCTTCTATTCAACAATCTTTACGAGACATATCTCACTGGATTTCTGCTATGAATATTTAAGGATCTATAAAAATATCACCTGCATAATCTAATCCCTTGAACTAAGCTGTGAACAACCATAAAAGTTTTCCAGCATGTACCTGGCCGGATGCTCTCATTGGCGCTGTGATGACCATCAATATGTCACCTGTTATGTCACCCTTTTCTAAAGACCTCAAATACAAAACTTCAGTTATAGTTACCATTTAACATATAAGTCCTCAAAATAGTTTGCAGATATAAAAATGGAGGTCAGATGACATGAAAGTGTGTACTTGCTTTGTGAGGATGAGAAGGTTAAATGAGAAGGCAAGTAAAACAACACAGCCTTCTTCTTTGTCATAAACATATGACTGTTTTATTTTACTTGGAAAGATACTCAGAGTCAATATTCAGTTCTTATTTATACAGCTGGTACTTTTGACGTTTTCCCAATTATTTCTGTTTTTTTTTTTTTTTTTTACTTGCCAGATTGCAATCACAAATGCGTATGTAAATTTGGAAACCATGCATAACTGTCATGTCTTTGAAAATATATCAAATAATGCCACCTGTAGTGCCATACTTGCCTATGGTGGTGTGTACCTCCACACACATATTCCTCATTTGTTTTGAAGGGCTATTAGCATTACATATTGAAGGGGTAGTTACTTAATATATCTCTGTGAAAATAGAAGATTGTAAAAAATAACATAAAATTGTTTACTTGAACATTTTTTTGCAGGGAGATAAAAACAATTTTTAGTACTCAGAAAGTCACAAATTTATATTGTACTATATGTTAGTATTTAGTATGTTAATATACATCTCTTTAGTAGCCACACTAAAAAGAGAGTCGTTTACTAGAAATCTTTAACAGTTATTTCCATGCAATAATTTCCCTAAATCAAAATTTAGTTTCTCATTAAGTGTCTATGATACACCAGTTACCATTCTAGGCCCTGGGGAAACTAACATAAATAAAACACATATCAGAATCTCCAAACAACTAAAGTGCCATTCTACCAAAATGTGTCAAGTGTTACAGTATGACCTTTCACATATTCATATTAAATTTAAGGGCATAGATGGGCGCCTGGGTGGCTCAGTTGGTTAAGCAACTGCCTTCGGCTCAGGTCATGATCCTGGAGACCCGGGATGGAGTCCCACATCGGGCTCCCTGCTCAGCGAGGAGCCTGCTTCTCCCTCTGACCCTCTCCCCTCTCATGTACTCTCTCTCATTCTCGCTCTCTCAAATAAATAAATAAAATCTTTAAAAAAAAATTTAAGGGCATAGAGGAGTTGTTATCCTTTTGCAATATTTTTTGTTTATTGTAATGACTTTCCCATAGTTTTTAAAGACATCTTACCTAAAATATTTACCAAATATATATAATTTGTGTGTGTTTTCATCAATTAGCTTAATGTTTGTGAATGAATATTACTCAGTTTACCCATCCATTAAGTAGGATCATTAGAGATAGACTACTAAAACTCTGAATTTTCATTATTATAATAGAAACACAGGCTATTCATAAGATCACACTTGACTAATATAGTACCTAAAGGCTAAGTTGGGTAAAATTTAGAAGGAGTTCTTCAACATAAGATTATAGAGAAAATATGCTCAGATATTTTTATCAGACACAAATGATTGCTTATAAAATGCTTTATACAGCCTAAACTCATAATGATTAGAAATTATGCCTTATGTTATTTTGAGATAACTTTTGAATACTGAAGTCATCATTCTAATGATTAATAAAATGTCAAACTTCAGAACATTATTATTAACATTTTGGAGATTTTTTTAATTTGTAGTTTCATAAATGAATCAAAACATATCTTACCAATTTTTAAACATTGAAAACATGGGTCAATGCAGTGTATATACAATATAAAAATATAAATTAGATTTGTTATACACATGATAGTAAATATTAGTAATATGATTATTTAATTTTAAGGAGATAGCATTTGTTTTCCTAGTAACTTGTCTTAAGAGTTAATGGAATTTGTTTTATTTTTTAAATTTGTTAGAGGGCAAAATTTTATTTTTATATAACTTGTGTTCTGATTAAGGATATTCAAAAAGTAAATTTTTTAATGTTATTTATCTGTTTTTACCAAATTATATAAAATCCATCATGATTGAAATGAGTAGATTCACCTTCTTCCCCTTTCCTATTTTTCCATACTTAACCAGGGTAAAATGATGATAATGACAAAAAAGTGAACTACCTCATTTTTAACATGGTGCCTAACAAGGTATTGAGAGTAAGTTGACTATAGGAAGCATCTCTTGTCCTTTAACTGGCTCTGAAGCTCTGCACTATAAAGGCAAAATAAATCAATTTGACTCTCTCTTCCTATTACCTAAACCTCCTTGAATCGATCAGAAAGTAGAGTTGCTTCCTAGATCACTTCATCTGATTAAGTAAGTGAAAACATGATTTGTGTTCAAATTTCTCTTATTCCATTAATTTTTCCTCTATTTAAAACCACAATATTTATTAGGTGTTGCCAATTTTTATTTGAAAATAACAGATTTTACCTTTTCTCTACATAAGCTTTTATTTCTGTACTGGACATTTAGGTGAATATAAAGCATTATTTTATTTCATATGTAAGTAACCATGTATATCAATTACAGTGGTTAGTAGCCACCAGGGGTCCATTTATTCAAAGATTACTCTGCTTTAGCAAATAGTACTGTATAGCCTAAAAGAGTTGATTTATTTCTTCAGGTCATGTTTCCAAAAATAATCAGATACTAAAATAATTCATTCAAGCAAAATATAGTTTGCATACAAGAGTCTAGTGAATTTATTTTACTACCAACATTGTGTGAATTGATCTTTTGTTTTTTTCCCAGGGAACTCAGGACAAATTAAACAAGCAAACAATAGTCTGACTTGTTAGTTTCATTGAATTTATTAATTTGAATGAATTGAATGTAAAATCTACTGAGTTGTATGTGAATACAGGTGAGCATACCTGAGCAGAGAAATATCTGCTTAATAAAATTCATAGTCTGAAATTAGTTGAACTTCTGCAAGTATTGTTCACGAACTATAAAACTAAGTATTGTTCTTATATATATAGAAAGGGACGAATTGAAAATTTTTCAGAAAGTTTGAGTAAACTTTACTGAAAATATTAAAAACTTTGTTAAATGAGAGAAACTGGATGATTTACAAAATATATTTCTAAAAGAACTTTCACCTAGATAAAATTTTTAGGGATAAACTCTTCATAGTTGTAAAGATGCAAGAGATGGTAATCACATGCTTTCCTAATTAACTGCAAGTATAAAAATAACCTACAATGTAATTTTATCATATATTTACAAATTAGAATAAGTCATTGTATAATTAGTCATTATGATTAGTACTCCAAGTAGAAAGACAAAATGTCATTGATATATATTGTTCATGTAAGTATTGCTTGCTCTGGGTTTGGTATAAAACTATATCTAAAAACTTTTTCATGTGCAAAAACTATACAGTGTTCTTTAAGAGTCTCTTCTTCAGACCAGAAGTAACATGAATAAAGTGGCTTCATTTGGATTTTCTTAAGAAGAAAAATATATATCTATAGTTTATATAAATATATAAACATATATTTATATATCTAAGGTATAAGACAAAATTAATGTTTACATCTTTTAATTTTTTATATTTTAATTTTTATATTTTCAAACTTTATGAATTTGCTAATGCAAATTTCTGTTACAAAATTAAATGTTAAGAAAAATATTAGAGTAGAAATCCCTGTTTCTTCACTCATCATTGCCAGTATAAACTAGTGCAAAAGGCATTATAGATTTCTTGTATTTCCTTCTCCCAATATTTTTTCCCCATTGTAGGCACCACGTTTCAATCAGTCTCTCTCTTTCTTCACACACCTGAGTACTTCTGACTGCATACTGCCTTTGTCCAAAATGGTGAAAGAATAGATTGTATTTTATACTGTACATCAACCAGACTCTAGCAGTAATAGAAGTTTCTTCCTTGTCTTTGACTCAGCACTTTTTGGGGAGTGTAAATATGGTGGAGATCAATACATATGGTTAAGTAATCAAAATGGGTTAACTGCCCAAAGTATAGTCAATTATAATCAAACTAAACTTATACATAAAGATTAAATTGTTTATACATCTATCATGTTCTTATTTAAATAAAAAATAATGCATATTTAATGTGTGCAACATATTTGATGTACTGG